CAAGATTTCATTGTCTTTGATGGCTGAGTAGTATTCCATTGTATATAGATATACCACATCTTCTTTTTCCACTCATCTGTCGATGGACATCTGGGCTCTTTGTGGACATTGCTGTCATAAAAATTGGGGTGCAGGTGCCCATTTGGGTCACTACACTTGTATCTTTGGGGTACATACCTAGTAGTGCAATTGCTAGTTCATAGGGTAGCTGTATTTTCAACTTTCTGAGGAACGTCCATATTGTTTTCCAGAGTGGCTGCACCAGTTTACACCTGCACCTACTAACAGTGTAAGAGGGTTCTCCTTTCTCCCCATCCATCATTTCCTGACTTGTTAATCTGAGCCTTTCTGACTAGCATGAGGTAGTATCTTATTGTGGTTTTGATATCATTGTGTTTTTAATTTGCGTTTACCCCAGTGACTAATGATGCTGAACATCTTTTCATGTGACTGTTTACCATCTGTTTATCTTTGGTGAAGTCTGTTCAGATCTTTTGCTTATTTTATTTTTTATTTAAACATCTTTTAAGATTTTTTTTTGGCTGGGTACAGTATATTTTATGATACATGACAAGGTAGGGCTCCCTGAACCCCTCCTCTTCTTTAGGGGGTCTAGGATTGAAACTGTCTGGAGGTCAGGGGATTCTCAGTGTATTGAGGGATGCGTTGGGGCAAAGACTCCCCAGCAATTAAGGGAATCTCTCTTCTTGCTCTCCCTGGTGCTGGTGGTCCAGGGTCTCCTATTCCTTGAAAGCCATAAGATCACCACCTGGTTGCTGTAACCAAATTCATTGTCATAACAGGAAATGAGTTTGACACAGTGGTCATTGAGGGCAATACCAGCCCCAGCATCAAAGGTGAAAGAGTGAGTATTACTGTTAAAGTTGCAGGAGACAGCTTGGTTCTAAGGGCCCAGAATGTCCTTGAGGGGGCCCTCTGATGGCTGCTTCATCATCTTCTTAATGTCATCGTTTTTGGCAGCTTTCTCCAGGCAGCAGGTCACATCCATGACTGACGTGTTGCAAGGTGGGGACAGGAAGTCTGTGCCAATGAGTTGCCCATTCAGTTCAGGGATGACCTTGTCTATAGCCTTGATGGTGCCAGTAGAAGCAGGAGTGATATTTTGGGAAGCCCCTCAGCCCTCACACCACAGCTTCCCAGAGAGGTCATCCACAGTCTTTGAGTGGCAGTGATAGCATGGTGGTCATGAGTCCCTCCACAATGCCACGTTATCATGGATGACCTTAACCAGAGGGGCCAAGCAGTTGGTAGTGCAAGAGCCATTGCTGACAATCTTGAGGGGGTTGTCATACTTCTCATTGTTCATGCCCATTAGAAACATGAGGCATCCTTAGAAAGGAGCAGAGATAATGGCCCTCTTGGCCCCAGCCTTCAAATGAGCTCCAGCCTTCTTGATGGTAGCAAGGACCCCACCACATACTCAACACTAGCATCACTCCATTTGATGTTGGTGGGATCTTGTTCTTAGAAGATTGAGATGAGCTTTCCATTCATGACAAGTTTCCTATTCTGAGCCTTGAATGTACTATTGAATTTGTCATGGGTGGAATGATACTGGAACATGTAGACCAAGTAGTTGAGTTCAGTGAAGGGGTCACTGATGGTGACAGTATCTACTTTGCCAGAGTTGAAAGCAGCCCTGGTGATTAGGTGCTCAGTACAGCCAAATCTATTTACTCTGACCTTCACCATCGTGTCTCGGGATGTGGCTGGCATTATACCAGAAGATGTGGCTGTCTGTCAAATGGGGAGGAACAGAGAGCCTCTTTGCTCATTTTAAAATTGGAGTTTTTGTTCCTTGTTGTTTGAGTTTTGAGAGTTCTGTATGTATTTCAGGTACAAGTGCTTTGTTATATATGTGATTTCCAGATATTTTCTCCCAGTCTATGGCTTAACTTTTCTCTTTGTTTTTCAGAGAAAAAGCTTGAAATTTTGATTAAGTTCACGTTAGCAGTCTTTTTCTTTTATAAATTGTTTCTGGGACAGGATCTAAGAAATCTTTTCTAACAGGTTTCCACCTGCATTTTCTTCTCTCATTCATCTTAAGTCATTTTTTTGTACAGTCATATCCATTCCAAACTACAAAGATCATATAAAATGAACACATTGCCAGATACCAGTTCTCTCCATAGCCCAAGTTCCTTTTGAAAAAAAGTTATATTCTCATTCCCTGTTAAAACGTAGCCTTTACTTTGAAGGGACAGATTTAGTGGGCTTATTCTTTGGAAAATATTGCAGAATAAGAGTACCATACTACTGTCAGCTCCTTTTTACAGCAAAGGCCAAATACTTTGGAATGCTCATCTTTTTGCAAAAGAAAAAATTTAATTTCTGTACATTTTTAAGTACTTTGATGTAAATGAACTTCTTTGTGGTATGCTATCCTATACAAAAAATTGCAAGGATCCTACTGTTTGAATGTCCTGTTTTTAAATAATTTATTTATTCATTTGAGAGAGAGAGGGAGGGAGGGAGAGAAAGAGAATGAGCAGGGGGAGAGGGAGAAGGAGAGGGAGAGAGGGAAGGAGAGAAAGGGAGAGAATCCTCAAGCAGACTCCCAGCTGAGCACAGACCCCAATGCAGAGACCAATGCAGGACTCAATCTCATGACCCAAAGATCATGATCTGAGTTGAAACCAAGAGTCGGAAGCTTAACTGATTGCCACTCAGGCACCTCAGGGAATGAGCTTTTGATAAAATACAAAATTCATCTGTGTTGAATCTTGAAAGAATTATGCCATGCGAGAGAAGCCAGACAAAAAGCACTACATACTGTGTGATTTCATTTATTAAAAAGCAGAAAATACAAGTGATAGTGACAGCAGTGGCTGCCTTTGGGTGAGTGGAAAGGAAATGAGGGAAGGCTATAAGATGGAGGAGGGACAGGAGGAGAATTTCAGGGGTGATAATCTTGATTGTGGTGATGTTTTCACAGGTAGATACAAATAATGCACTTCAAATATGTAGAGTTTATTACATCAGTTATACACTAGTAAAGCCACTTACAGAAAAAGAAATAAGAGGCAGTTCACCTCTGGAATAAATATTTACTAAATGCCTACAGATGCCAGATTCATGGGTTCTGTGCGAGGGGGTCAGAGAGAGTGAGGCCTTGGCCCACACTTTCTGGGAGCTCACCATTGAGTAAGGGAGTTAGAAAATAAACCTATAACTTAGATCCAGTATGTGTTAAGTGCTAAGAAAGAACAAACGGGGAACAGGAGAAGTCGAGAACATGGGTGCCAGTGGGTGCCTTTTCTGGGGGAGGTCAAGGAAGACCTACGAAAGAGGAAGCTGAGCCGAGGCCTAGCACTGGTCAGGTGGATGAGCCTCCCCATCTGGGGGAACATCAGTGGCAAATTGGTGAAATGCAAGTTCCAGGAATTGCATGTGGTTTGTCCTGATTAGAGCAAAGGACACTATAGCAAGAGAAGAGATGGCAGAGGTTGGGGCCAGACCATGGAGCTTTTGCTTTCATGGCAGTGCCTGGGTGCATTTGTGCTCCAGGCTTGAACTAACAGGTCGTCCAGATCTCTGGTCTGTATTACAGGGACACTGTCTCTGCCAAACACTTGGCACAGACCTCCAGGCTTTTGAGGCTGGGACACTCATATTCATGCTTAGCTCTAGTCTGAGAGTTCTTATGTTCCCCAGGAATGTTTCAAAAGCCAAAGGAAACAAGCTGGTTTAGGTCTGAGCAGCAGCTGGGGAACATCTGCTTGCTTCTTACAGCTATACCTGGGAGCAAAGGTCTTTGGTGCATTTGTATGTTGGAGGTAACCAACAATCCAGCTGCCTCAAAAGCAGTTTTTCCACAAGTCAAGAATTTTGCCTTTCTTTCTGGCTGGCAGCACTGATTCCCTAAAGTCCTGTATTTCTGACAATGGCTGTCTGGGGTGCAGTGATCTGTGTCCTGTTTGGTTCTCTCCTACCCTCTGGTCATCTGTTAACCAGTCACCACTGGATTTCTCCAGCCACTGAGTAATAGAGGTCATGAGAGAGTCCCTAATTTATTTGTTTATTTTTAGAGTGGGTTTTTAGAGGAGACTAGGATGTTTGATTCAGAGTATGATTGTCAGACCACATTAAAAATTCAGGCAGCAGTACAGAACATGGATAGCTCATGTCAGCCAGACATTTCAGTGTAACCAGAGGAGGAAAACACAGCGAGGGCCCATGTTAATGGAAGTTGATGCCAAACTGCATGGCAAGCACTGGCTCACCTTTCTCCTGTTCCCTGCCACCCTTCAGCCAGAAGAAAGCAGCTCATATTTAAGCTAGAATTTAAAATGGGATTGCTAAAAAAATAAAAATAAAAATAAAAATAAAAATAAAATAAAATAAAATGGGATTGCTGCTTAATGAGCATTCCTGTGATCTCAAGATCAAGTTGCTTACCCTTCAAAAGGAGAGCTCCTCTCCTCCCATTTAGGATTGTTACTGATATGGCAGTTAGGATCTACAAGAAGTGAGAAGCATAGGTGTGGTGGTTTATCTTTTTTCCTTGGGGAATTTGTGCCATCTTCTGCAGGGTTGGACCAAGAGGACGAGCAAAGGTGCTCACACTGATTTCCCTAACCAACTCGAGGAAAGCTGTGGCCACACAGATGCCTGAGATCAAGTGGGTCCAGCAAAGGCCAATGTGGATGATCTTGGGTGGATTAGTAAAACAGATGGTGTCAGGAGGGAAGAAGTTTTCAATGATATTGTGGACTTTGGTTTTTGTATCTTCTCACCTGGGCTGGAGAAAACAGTCCACATGTGGGCTGGCCTAAACTCTGTAACTCTGTTTATCCTGCCCTCCTGTCCTCTCCCGTGCTATCTACCAGCTGGACTGTTAAATGGCTGAATCCTTTTTTTTTTTTTTTTTTTTACTGTGTCAATCCTGGAAGGTCATGATTGTTGTGATTTGGGGCTGGTTTCTTGAATGGGTGGGTGAAATGGATATCTAACTATTGATTTGTTTTCTTGCATTTCAGTCGTTCCAAGGAAGTCAAGGACGAGCATACCTCTTTAACTCAGTGTGAGTATCTCTGAATGGTACACCCATGATTTGGTGCAAGTCTTGTCAAGTGGGGGGAAAAGCAGTAGTCAGTGATAATTAAACAATGGACCCTGTCCCCTCGGGGCCAATAAAAACCCTGCAGAGCATTGCTCTCCACGGTAGGTAGTCGATTATCTGTAGGGATTTTTTTTTTTTCTGCATCTTTGGCTAAAAATAATACATTTACTACCCACAGTAGGCACATCAGAGGGCTATAGACTCATAGGGAAGAAGTTGAAGTGCTTCCGAGAGCCTCATCAGGAGGCTTCAGAACCAGGTATGAGATGAGTCATCAGGGAAGAGAGGTCAAACCAAAGACCTGGAACTCTGCTGCAGGAGCGGAGACTGGAGGAAAGTCCTGGTTAATGAGAAGCCTCCCCCTCCCCCACTGCAGTTGTAGCCTGATAGGGCTCTGCATCACTGCTGGGAGCATCCCTGGGCGCCTGTAACCTGGAAAAGGAAGGTGAAGTTCACACAAGTCTAATGAACTGTGAGAGTGGCAGTCTAGCATGTTCAGCTTGATATGATACAGGGCTTGTTCATCCTTGTAATTAGGGCATGCCTGTGCCAATGTCATGTTTGACATCTTCAGCTGCATCCAGTCCTCAGTAAGCTCATGGTTGTGGTCTTCACAGTGTGGCCATTACTTAGTCCCCTTAGCTCACAAGATGAGGAGCATCAATCAGAAACATTCCAAGGAAAATTTCAAACCATAAAGACTATTTATCAGCAGATTCACTGAATCAGAATTTGCAGATCTCAAATGCATTTCAATGGAGATGTTTCCATGTGGCTGCCTTTTAGGGGCTGTTAACACTTTTGGTCATAAACAACGCCCTTCTCAGTGTTGGCTTCCCTTGTGGCATCCATGCTCAGTTATTTTCTCACTGCAAGCTCAGCTTGAAAGACCAATGATGAGTGTGTGACTAACTACCCGTTCTCTCTGTCCCTTGGCACAGAGTTAATGTGGGCTGCGGGCCTGCAGAAGAGCGAGTGTTGCTAACAGGACTCCATGCAGTTGCAGACATTTACTGTGAAAACTGCAAAACCACTCTGGGCTGGAAATATGTGAGTACTAAGGAGTCTGGTTGGTGGCAAGAGGGCTGTGAAGGCAGTAGTTGAGAGAGCCTTCTGCTAGAGGATTGCTTTCTTCCACTGGCTTCTTCTGGCCCTGTGCGATTATCTTAGTCCAAGAATAGGCAGTTGAACCCAAAGAGCACTTCCTGGCACACTCCTGCCTGCCATACTCATTCTTCCTTTTTCTCCTACTCATTCCTTCAGAGTTGCCCCTGAAACAGACAGATACACACATCTGCTTTTCAGCTTAATTAATAACAATAATAGCACATAATATTTCCTGATAGCCTACTGTGTTCCAGGCATATATTATCTTATTTACTCTTCACAGGGTCCCTAAGAGGTTAGGTCATATTTTAATCCCTATTTTATGGATGAGGAAACTGAGGCTAAGTGGGGTTAATCTTATTTCCAATCTTATCTAGCTGTTGTCTGGCCAAACCAGGACAGAGACGTCCAGGAGCCTAACTGCAGAGCCCATGCTCTTTGTTCCAGTAAATGTCCCCGGAACATCTCTCAGGTCCTAGGCCCTGTGCTAGGCATCATCAAACATATTAGTGTCCACTGTTAGATACAGTCATGGCTGGACTCGCCGTATTGGATGTTCATTCCTTAGCTCTTTAACTCAACAAATAATTTTAACCTCTTCTTGACACCTGGAGTGAGCAGTTCTTTGCTAAGGTGAGATGAGGTATGGATGTTCAGTGAAAACAAACTTTTGTTGTTATTATTGGCAGATATATTTATGATGGGCAGATATTTTCACAGGCTTTATCCTGCCCGTCATTGTGAGGATATTGGAAAATGAGTCTTCCAGTCTCTGGGAGGACAATTTCTTCCACGTAAATGCCACAAATTCCATGTCCTGTCAGTTGTACAGGGTGAGTGTGGGGCTGGCTCATATGACCTGTGGTTAGTTAGCTGTTAGTTAGCTTTGGAAGAGCCTGGAGGAGTAGTCAAAACTGCCTGCCGAGTGATAATGATGTGTCAGTGTAGGCTTGTTGATTGTGACAAACACACCACTCTGCAGAACTCCAGTAATGGGGGAGGCTGTGCGTTATGTGGGAGCAGGGAGTACAGGGGAAACCTTGCCTTCTGCTCTTTTTTTTTCTGTGAACCTAAAACTGCTCTAAAAATATGAAGTCTATTTCAATAAAAATGATGCTGAATAAAAAAGCCCAGCATAAAAACATGATTCCGTTTAACCAAAGTTAAAAACATGCAAAACTTAACTACCATAGGTGGAGTCTGCAATGGAGCAGCATTGCCTTTAGATTCCATCTTTCACATCTACTTTGAGATGTTCATCTACCTAGATGGCATGTTTCATGATGCCAAGATGGTCACAGATCCCTATGGATGCCTTGATTGCTTCTAGCGGGAAAAACTATCCTTGGATATTCTGTTTCCTCTGTATGGCCAGTGCCCCCCAACCCCAGGTGATCTGGGGGCCACAGTTATGGGTTTGATTATTCAAAAATGTTCTCCTCTTCTGTTCTTCCAACTTCTTGGTCATCTTGTTCCAATGAAGATGTACAGGATTACAGATAGAAGATAAATGTGAGTTCATTGGTTTTGCTCCTTGAGGTAAAAATGAATCACTCCTTTGACTCAGGTTTATTAAAAGCCTTTGTGTTGGATACAAAAGTAAATGAGATCTAATACTTGCCCTTGGTTGGGTGTTTACAGTCATGTTATCAGGGAGGAAAGCTACAGGTAAACAGATAAAACAGCTTGACAAGCATACTGATATGTACAGGACAGTAGAGAAACATCCATCTCCCCAAATATTTATTGATTACCTCTCATGTCCCAGGTCAGGACTCCAATCCTTCATTCCATTATTTCTTCAGACCCTCACAGTAATCCTGTGAAGTACTTTTAATTATCCCAGTTTTGTAAATGGAAATTTGCAATTGTAAACAAAAGTGGTTAAGTGATGCTTCTGGTGCCAGGAAGCAAAAGCAGGCTTCATTCAGTCTGGGGTGTTTCTGCAGACTCTAGATCTAGTGTTCTGTCCACTAGAGTCCAGTTAATGACATTTTTCAAGTGGCTTGGGGGCTGTTGAATTTTTTTTTCTTTTGGCTTTTTTGTTTGTTTAATACAGATATACTCTTACTTTCCTAGTTTTCTTTTTATTTACCTCCCCCCTATCCTGAGCACACTGCCACAGAACAATAGGTCTTATTCTCGAACCACATTCCTTTGTTGTGTACACATCACACAACACACACACACACACTGAGCTGAGGAATAATGAAGTGTCAGGGAAATTACTGCTGAGTCCACAGCTCTTGTGTGTGTGTGTGTGATGTGTTTGCACATTCTCTCTCAGTGCCCTTCCCCTCGCCTCTCCCCTTTCCCCTCTCCGCTTTGTGGAATGATTTGTCTCTCAACACAAGACTCAACTCTGATCTCTTGTCCCGAGACCCAAACCTCTGGAGCTTGGGAACAGAAGATACAGTTCATACAAATGCCTCCCAGAACCTATGGCCAGTAGGGTTGAGTTACTTACTAAGTTGGAAGACTCCGAAAAAGAGTTGTTGTCCACTGCTTCTGCACATTGGACTCAGCCATCTAATGACTGTGATAATACATGTTTGTTTGTGTGTGTGTTTTTTAAGATTTTATTTCTTTACTCATGAGAGACAGAGGGAGGCAGAGACCTAGGCAGAGGGAGATGCAGGCTTCCTATAGGGAGCCCAATGCAGGACCCATCCCAGGACCCCAGGATCATGCCCTGAGCTGAAGGCAGACGCTGAACCACTGAGCCACCCAGGTGCCCCTGACCTGTGTTTTTCATATAATACACCAGATGTTTTTATACCTCTATGCCTGGGAATACAATATCCGTTTGAGCCTATACCTATGCAGGGCTCTTTTTCTATGGGGCTTCTTAGCCTGCAAGCCCACACACAGCGTTGTAAATTTAGGATGGTAATCTATCAGGTGATTTATATTGAGTTTTCTCTCTGGAGGCCTGGCAGCTGGGTGGGGCTTGAGGGCTGCCAGGTTCTTCAGCCTGGAGTTCACGTAGCTCTGATCTCCCTGGAGAAAGGCAGTGAAGGAAAAACAGACTTAATACACTTGACATAGAAATAGCAAGATAAATAAAAAAGAGACCTATTTGGCCTCACAATACTTTCTCTCCCTGAGTGTTTTTTCTCTAGGTGTAATAAAGTACAGTTGAGGATTATGACATAGAAACTTCATGGATACATCCACAGAGCACATTTCTGGTCAATGTCAGAAACCAAGTTCCCCTGATTTTACATGTGCATATGCAAGTGTCCACCCGCACACAGACACACATTCACTTAGCAGTTATTTATTGAAGACCTATTAAGTGGCAGGCAGTCCTCTATGAAGTGAACAAAACGAATAGAAACTTCTGCCTGTCTGAAATTTGTCTTAGTAGTGAAAGACGATATGTAGAACAGATATGCAGCTTGTACTGTGTATTTGAAAATAAATGCTGTGGAGAAGAATGAAGCAGGTAGAGAGGGGAAAGGGAGTTCTGGGGTGGAAGTCGTGCTATTTAAAGTAGAATAGGAAAGACCTTACTAAGATGGTGACATTTGGGCAAAGACTTAAAAGCAGAGATCCTGAAGAAATTCTGTTGTAAATATTGAGAAAATGTTTAGAATATTTAAATTGCAAAGTGTTTAAACTCTGTTGTAAATATTGAGAAAGTCTTGGTGCTGCCTCAGCGCTGGAGCTCAGGGAAGAGGACGTAGCATGTTCGAGTGGTAGGAATTCTCTCAGGCTGGGCAAAGCTGGTCCTGATCCCTATCATTGGCCTGCCTTTGCTCCTGTGCTACAGAAATCACCTATTTGTCTTTGGTCATCTGGTGTCTTTTCCTTTGTGTCTCCTAGGAACATGCCTTTGAAAGCAGCCAGAAGTATAAAGAAGGCAAATACATCATTGAGCTAGCACACATGATCAAGGACAATGGCTGGGACTGATCGGAGGGTATCCACCTAACCCAGTGTCTACATGAACACCATCCAACCGAACATTCTACCCAAGCGTGAGAGAGTGACTGAACACTTGGTTCCATCCATTTAGGGGCCTTGCCATCTGGGGCATTCTCCCACCCTGACGCCGCCTTTCTGGTGACCGGCCTCTAAATTGCTGTCTCTCTGTCTCTTTGCTTTGTATCTGTTTGTGAGTTGATCCTGGCTTCTCTCTCTGTTCTCGTGTTGGCTGAAAACGAAACAACAAAAGGAACAGATGCTTGACCTCATGGCAGCAGCCCACCTTGATAAGGGCCCTAGGGCCCATGTAAGCGCTGCCCGATGGCCTCTTGTCAGGAGAGCAGTGGCACAGCACAGGGGTGTGCGGAAGAGGGAAAGGGGGAGCCGTTGAGGATCCCGGGGGTGGGCAGGGGATGGGACGTGAGAGGTAGGAACAAAATTGTGCTGCTCCTGGAGTCCTGGTAACTTAGGCTTGAAATAATCGACTTGTCTCAAAGGACAAAGAGAAAAAAAAAAAATACCTCATGACTGCATTTCTCTCTGATCGGAAGTTTCTGTTCCTGACACCAACTGTGCCAGGTTAGCATGTGAGCGCAAGAACTGGTCCTAACTCTAGTGGGGGCAGGGGACTGGTTCTCCTGGGTTGAGTTGGGAGTGTCCTGAAAAGAGAGAATGAAAAGCCCAGGTGGTTTTGATAACTCTGATGCCTCACTGCTCCTTCTGGTCATCTTTACCTCTTCAGCCACTGTAGGTGAGAGGAGGGGGGGTATTTGTAATGGGTGCAAGATCCAAACATCCCAAAGACCTTGGCCACCAACCAATTAAAATCAGTAATTGAGGATGACAGGGAACAAAGGGGACTGTAGTTTGGGAGCTCCTGTAGAGATGGCTCAGATATTGGGCCAGAAAAAATAAAAAGTAGAACCAGCTAGCAATTCTGATTGTCTAACCGTTTTTTTCCTGACCCCTAATAAGAGCATTATGGCAAAGAAGGGGGCGGGGTGGGACAATGCTGGGAATAGTTTGGAGTTGAACCGTTACAGGTTAGTGCATCTTCCCCTTTGGTATGCAATGGCTTCAGAGAGATCAGCAATTCTTTGTACATAGTTTTGGGTGTTTTTCTCCAGTTCTATCATTGTAGAGTGTGGAAAACAAAGTCCCAAGGCTTTGAGCTTAGAGATAACCTGGCCAGTAGATTCCTCATACCCCTAGCTATTCTTGGACTTGAATGCGTTGTGTGGAGAGAAATTGTCAGAGTGGTCCAGCAGTAGGGAGGGCTTAGATATGATTGTCAAACATCAAGTTAAAAATTCCAGTATTAGCTGCTGCCTCCCATCTCCCAAAACAAACCAAAGTTCATTATATTAGGGAAGCGGAGAACAAATCCTTAATAAAGCTCATGAGAGAGAAGAGTTTGTTACAGTTAACCAACAATGTGAAGTGTATTATACCAACAGTTCAGCCAGTCCCCAGTGCATAACTGAAGCTCATTTAACTGAGTTAATTTTATGGCTTAGACCGAAAATGTAATTATTAAGGTATGTGCAGGTTATATTAGGTAATTCTCAGCATCTCCTTCTCTAAGTAGGCTGATTCTGTAGGAAAATTCACTGTAAAGTCACAGAAGAGTGAGTTTGTAGAAGCAACAATCTGTAAAATTGAATCAAGATTTAAGCAGCCAACCCGGGACATTTCCAGAATTTGAATTTTCATAGGGAGTAGATCATGGTGGAAATGCCTTTTCATGTCTCTGTGCACTGATTGCATAAAGGGGACCTGAGCTAGGTGTGGTCCTGCACTGGAGGTGATGGACAGCAGGACTGACAGGAAGCCAGGTGGCTCCAGGTTTAGCAATAGACCGCTTCTTTAACACAAAAGGATTCTTAGAAATTGAATCTTGTTCCCAAAGGCTTTTTACCCACATCTTCTGGTACTTCAGCAACCCTGGAAGATTAAGTTCTCCCCACATTACTAAAAATCAGACTGAGGTTCAGAAGAAGCTTTTCATTTCTGCTCCCAGAGAAAGAGTTCTGGCTTCCAGGGCCAAGATCTCAATAAAAAAGCATTTTCAACTTTCACATTCCTGAGATGGCTTGCTGGCACATAAATCATAGATCCCCCTTTCTGTCTGCCCCGAAGTAGTGGCTGTCACTTAGAGATTTTGATTAGCACCTTAGCTCAGAGAATGTCCTGGCTGTTGATGCTCCTTTCCATAGAAAGAAAATGGGAGTTAAACACAGGTAGGTGTTTTGTCTTTGAGACTAAAAATGGAGTGTGGTGACAGAGAAACCAGACATGGGGTGCCCTAGAATTTTCGAGGGGCAGAGGAGACCAATGTGCCACTGTTCTTCCTTGGGGATGAGGCCTCTGACTGCCGCATGGATCAGAGCAGGCTTCAGTTAGACCCAGGTTCTAGTTTTTGGTTTGTGTTTTTTTTTTTTTCTCCAGTTAGCTGATTGAGCATCCAATGGGTGCGTGGCACCATACTTGGTGCAAAAGATCTGAGTAGAATGTTGGTTTTTCCACAACTACAGGGGAAAAAGAAAACAACTCATTAGGCTTTCCCTTTGTGTCAATGAAACCAAAAGTGCTTCTTATAACTTTAGCTCCATTCATGGCTTGTCTACCTAACGTCTAGCAGTATTGGATTGACCGCAGCTGAGTGATGAAGACACATCAACTCATGGCCTCAGTCAGTTCATTCTTTAATTTCTTCACCAAATTATTGACTCAGAGTATAACCAAAGACCTCATCTATTCACCCCTGACAGGTTCAGGGAATTGGAGTTGTATGGTAAAACCTAGGCAGGATGCAGGGAGGAGGGCAGGGGGAAAAAGAGAAGCAAGAAAGGGAAAGGCATGACGTTCTATACCTCAACCAGCAGCTGCCTTCATGTGCAACTGAAGTCCGGCTGGCAGACTCTCTAGGTCCATCTCCCCTGTTCTGTCTTAGGTCATGTGGCCTCAGTGGCCCTGGATTACACCCAGATCCCCGAATGCTAACCTTAGGCTGCTGATGGGTTGATTTGACATGAATCAAATACAGCCAGACTTGATGCCCGCAGAATGTCAACTGGGCCTGATAGAATGCTCCCCCCACTCCAATGACAGCAAGACCATGGAGATAGGATGAGCAAATCTTTACTGGTGGGTCAGTGTGTGAAAAAGAGGTGTCCCCTTTATAAAAAGATCTTCAAGTGGATATATATATATATATATATATATATATATATATATATTTAAAAAGTTGCTTATGAAATATTCTTTTGTAAATAATATTTAATTTTTTAAATAATATATTTGGTGCTGTTTTCTCAGATCCCCTGAGAGCACTTTTTATTTTCATTTTTAAATTCTATGGTTTATTCTGCATTTCTTGAAGTATATTTTAAGGGAAACAGTGATCACCAATATAGTCTTTCTAAAAAATAAAAAAAAAAATCTGTATCCCTTTAGTCTGGACAGAGGCAATAAGGCAATGCCTCTCTGCATTTTTTTTTCCCTGATGGAACAGACTCTGCAGTGCATTACCAGGTTGAGAATTGAAATATTTTCTTGCACCAATATTGACTAGAAAAGAAAATAAATAAAATCAGATTTAGTAACAAATTAGCGATTCCTCTTGTTGGAAGAATTTCCAACAATTTGGAATCTTGTTTTTAATTTTTGTGCGTATGTGTGTGTGTGTGTGTAAAGCACTTTGCGTTGTGCCTCCTGTACTCTTCTTTACTGAGGACACTATACCTACAGTTTACACCTTGGGCACATAAGGCTTTCTTCTCTTTCTCTCGGCTGGTCTTGTTTCGAGTGGACCAATAGCACAAACCGTGAGGATTTTGTTTTTCTGAGCATGGAGCTATTGCCAGTTTGCTCCTTTTTCTTTGTGTGCTCAACTTTCACAGATCGTAAAGGAAATCTGTTTGTGAAGATTAAGCAGAGTCAAATCTGTGTATTTCCGAGATGTGAGTGTACTCCTTACATACCCCAGGTTTCCACTTGTGGAAGCCACATCATTAACTGGTTTGGGTTGAAAGGACATCAGTAAAATAATTCACATACCTTGTAGGTAAAACAGTTTTATTTTAAGTTCAGATTGTCTCAGGTTCAGGAAGAGGCTGGGAAATCAAATCTTGATTGCAATCAAGTTACATATTTTAACAGAGTCTGCCTCGAATGAGAAAACACGCTAGTGGTCAAGGTAGAGGAAAGAGATGTTTAATTTTCTTAAGCAAAATACAGTCATGAAATCTGCCAGCAGTGAAAGGTAAATCCAAGAAGAAACAAGCTATTCCCATTACCAAATTTAATCTGCCTGTATATTTTTATGTAACATTTTGGTGAAAGTGAGAGTCGGTTCCCTTTTCCAACCTGCAGAGACGATCTTTCAATACAGAATCTGTCTATGCTTGTGTTTACAAACTGTATTTGTTGGGTTTGGGTTTTATTATTTTCCCTATTTTTTTGTGGCATTTTTCAGGTCACTTTGCTTCAATAACAAAGATAATTATTTTCAAATAATTTGTCTTCACCTTTTCCTGTATTTGTACATAGTGATTCAGTATTAGAGAAAAGTGCATTGTTTCTGTCATATTTCCAATCTGTGTTGGTGCTCATTTGAGAAAATAAAGTTTTCAAATATTCTTTGGAGGGCTCATCTGTCTTAATTGACCCAGCATGTTTTATCTTGACTTTAAGTTTAAAGGAACTGAAAAGCCTGTAGGAGGTCATCTGTCTAACCCCATTCACCGAGCTGTCAACTGAGACCCTGCAGGATTGTTTTCTCCAAGGACAGTTGGCCAATTAATGAATAAAAATCAGGTCTCCTGATTATCTGCAAATGCTTCTCTTATCTTTAGATAACAGAAATGCATGAGTGACCTTTAGGATTTTGGTCTACTAAACCCCATATTTTTAAACTCTGCAAACTTTTCTGTTTACACCAGTTGCTTTGGGGAAACTTGAATTGCATTAGGCAGAGAAATAAAAGAATCATAAAATAACAAAATTCAGTCACAAAGAGGCAGCATTATCTCTGAGTAATTAGCTAACGAAGGGAAAGAAGTATTCACAGTTATAGTATATGGAAAATCAGGTCTTCTCACTCACTAAACAAATATTTATTAAACAACTGTTAGGTTCTAGGCTCTGGGTGAGGCAGTTAGACCATTCTAATAAATCAGCTGTTTTTCCTCCAGTATCCTCCATATGCATAGCCTTGCATACATAGTTTTGTATTCTGGTGCCTTCATTTAACAGACTAAATATTTTTGCCTAGACATCAATTTATACCATAACTTTTTCAAAAGCTTGCCCCCACAACTTACAGGGTTCTCACCTTGTATAGGCAACTTTAGTGAAGACAGAGGATATTAAAACTGCACAAATGCGTATGTGTATGTGTGTGTTTTCACACTGGTAAAAGTATTTTAAAAGCCTGTTCTCTATAAAACAAATACCTTATCTTCTTCCCATGAATTTTCACCTATCCATTCTGGGCTGCAGTTGACTTTTATTTGTCCTTGAGCATATTATCTTATTCCTGTGACCTGTTTTGCTTCAGTGGATGTGTCTGTTATCATTTCCCTCTTGTTTGCCTTTGGCAGACCAGGAGGAGAGAAAAGATAATATGTGCGGGAGGCAACCAGTTCCAATCCAGCAATCCTTGGGTCCTTGTTTCCAAGCTCTTACAGCCTACTGGCTGTCCAGGAGATCAGGCCAGATCCTGGGTAGCGTCCATTGCCTACGTGACCCCTCTTAAGATCCTGGCAATGAGGCATTATCTCAGGTCATCCCAGGAGTCCTCACCACCCCAAGGGAAAGCGATGACAGATGCCAATTATACCCATTTTGTAGATGATGAGGTCAGGAAGGTTTCATGGGAATGACAGGGTCAGGAGTCCTAGCCTGACTTTGCAGCGGTGTTTCCCTGCACTGTGTCCCAGATGTCAGCCTCTCTCTTCCTCTAGCCTTCTTAATTCTTCTGTGGCTTCATAGGACACTTTCTCAGTCTGCCCATCATGACTGCTTAAAAAGTAAGGATTCAGGGGATGTGAATCAGCAAATTAATGTAGGCAGAGCCACAAAGGTCACCGCTACCTGAAAAGTATTGTGTATTTCATAGTTGAATGTAAGCAAGGCTTTGTTGGTTTTTAATACTTTGTAGTAGACCACATGTGTAATCCTTGGCCCCTTCGTTAATAGTAGGTACCTAACAACTGCTTGGTCAATCAACATTGAATTGATGTGGATAGTGGAGAACTAACTGCTTTTCAAAATCCGTTTAATATGTTAGTATCCCTAAGAGGAGAAGAGAGGAGGTTAACATTGAATGTTTCCTGCACAAGATAAATGGTTACATCAGGAACAGTCAGTTTACTATTTGCATTTATTTATTTGACAAGTATATATATATATATATATATATATATATATATATATAATAAGTATATATAATTATGTATATGTATAATATGTATATATAAAATTATATAAGTATATATACTGTATATATTATATATACACTAATATATATAGTATATACTATATATAATTATATACATAACTATATAACTATATATGTATATTTTTTGAACATCTATTATGTGCTTAGTCTAGTCAGGAAACTAACCCCAGGGAGCAGAAAATCAGTGGTACTAATTGTGCAGAGTGAGAGAACAAAGGCTATGCATGATCCTCCCTAGTTGGCCAAATATCCAGCCACATCAGCCACCACCCTCACTGGCAGCTGTTTCCTGCAGAAGCAATTGCTCATAAATCCTTTAATCTGAACCAAGAGCAGGGCACAGGGCAATCTCTGGAGTTAGTGCACCTGCTTTCAAATACTGGTTTCACTTAGTAAGAAGGTGATCTATGGAGAGGGCTCAGCTCAGTGCCTGGCACGTAGTAAGGAGTCAGTGATAAAATAGTGGTAATGATTACCAAGTGTCATATTGAAGTGGGAGTGGGATGAAGAGGACTATTATATTTGATCTTTATGTACATTATTTGCTTAATTTAGCAACAACTCTATGAAGCAAATACTCCAATTTTCAGAAGACAGAACTGAAGTACAGAGTGTAAATTATATGCTTGTGGAAAAGCTGGGATTTTTAAACTCTTGTTCTGATTTGAAGCCAGACCCCCTGCCCGTAGGCCCCAATCTGTGGCCCCAGCCTGCCATTCAGGAAGCAGGAATAGCCACCAAACAGGAAACTTTCTGGCAGATCAGACCAAGAGTATACCCAAACTGTCATGAATGTTTTGTTATCTCCTATTTTACTTTTTTTTTTTCCATTGGAAGCCCAGAGCTCAGAACTGAGGAAGAGTTTGAGTTGTATCATTATTTTATATGGTTTCAGGCATGTTGATTGCAGGGCTATGATTTTAAGGGGGAAAAGTGTGGTTTCAATTGTTCAGACTGATAGAAAAGATGAAAATGCAAATCATGCCCATGTGGAAGTATCCTAACATACACCTCCATCTCTGTGGGGACCTTTTGAGGGTAACTCTCTAGGCCAGCTTGGAACAAACCAAATATTAAAACTTCATGTGGCATGACAGTACTTCTAATCACTGCCTTTCCCCACCCAGGTGATAATGGGATCATTTTAATGACAGGATATCTGGGAAAGCTGAATTTTACAAGATGTTAGCAAATCATTTGAAAACAATGACAGAACTATTGGGTTATATTTATTTTAAATTAAGATCATGCTAATGGTTTATTCCAAGCTCAGAAACCAGCAGGGTCAAATAGAAAGAATGTTGGCTTTGGAGTTGGACAGGTGGGGATTTGAAGCCTGACTGCTTATCTTTTGATCACTTTGAAGAAGTCACTGCAATTCTCAGGACTAGTTTCTGTCTTCTGTAAAGCAGGGACCAGCAACCACACTCAAGTTAGTGTCAGCATCAGATAACAGCCATGAAGTGACCAGCACATAGCCTTGATCACATAGGCCTTAGCACGTGTCACTCCCCCCGCCCCCCCCCCCCCAGCACTGCTCTCACATAGGATAGTTAGGATCCAAAATTCATCCTCCTAACACACCTCTACAAAAGAGGAGAGGAGGTTAGGTCATTAACCCCTGGTCATGGGCCTCAGAAGTAGCAGACAGACATTAGAACCCGGCACCCAGCTGGTGGCCCCTGCACCATGCTACTTGGTTTTAGTTCTGGGGTGTGTACATTTATGGGAAGAAAAAAGGACAGACAGAAAAACATCCCTGAATTTTGGAATCTTGCTTTAGAATTTTTTTTTGAGATTTATTTATTTATTTATGATAGAGAGAGAGAGAGAGAGGCAGAGACACAGGAGGAATGAGAAGCAGGCTCCATGCTAGGAGCCCAATGCAGGACCCGATCCCGGGACTCCAGGATCGTGCCCTGGGCCAAAGGCAGGCGCCAAACTGCTGAGCCACCCAGGGATCCCCCTAGAATTTTTATAATAACCATTTTTGGTGATCTTCAGTAAAGTATAATTTGCTCTTGATTGTTCCCCCCTAGTCTGATAGGCAACATGCAGAGGAAGCAGAAATCTTCATTCACCTCCCCAGCCTCCCTTGGACTGTCTGCCTCTAATTCTAGTTCTCCAGAGCAAGGCCATACAAGCACATCAACCAAGCCTGGATGTTTTATTTATGGCTTTAATAATGGAGTCTCTTGGGAAAATTTTGGTTTCCCATTCCCAGAAGCAAAAACTCATCCACAGAATGTTCATAACGTTTATTACCATTTATGTTTTTCTCCTACCATGTTCTTTGAGCCACCTTAACAGACTTTAAAATGTCCCTTCAAAAAAGCAGTATAATTTGAGCTGCCGTTCATTTGCCTGGTATGTTCTGTACTAAACCAGCACAGTTTCAAAAAATTTAGAATATAGGTTGATAATGCCACCGCTGCTGACATCATCCTACGTTGAACATGCTGTGTTTATTACCAAAACTGCCACCAACCCAGCAGGAGCTTGTTTTAGCTTCGTCCAGTTCCCTGGACTGATTGCCACTGCCATTGGAAGAACAGCACCCACTTCTTCTGGAGGCACTCAGGCTTGAAGTTGTTTCCATGGTGATGAGACAGACCCAAGACTCAGGTTTCATTTCATTTTATATCTCAATGATATTATAAAGAAATAGCACCAGCAAGAATACCAGCCATCTGAGGGAGGAGGATGGAGGAAAGAAAGAGCCACTGACCTTCTGGGACCCTACCTATCAGAAGGACCCGTGGGAGTTTCTATTAGCAAGGGGGAGTGGGTAGTCATCTGGCAAAGGAGAAGTCAGAGTTACCACAGACCTAACTGGTTTGGACCTGTTGTGTCCAATGCATCAGGTGTTTCATCTTGCCTTGAGTAGACCTAGGTTTAGCTGGAGGGAGATTTGGCCAAAAAGGCTGTGCCATAAGGTAGGCAGAACTCAACGGAATGCCTGTGAAGATCCTTTCTGCCTATGGGCAGGACACTTAACTGGCATGTGGGCACCAAAAAGCAGGTTTTCAGGCTCCATTTAGCTCTGTGACCTTGGATAGGTTGGTTATCTTTTGAGGCTCCACTGACTCGTCCGTAAAAGAAAGTTTTGGTGGGGCGCCTGGGTGGCTCAATTGGCTAAGCATCTGTCATCAGCTCAGGTCATGATCTCAGGGTCCTG